TTGTAGGTACTGATCCCGCCTCATGCTCAGGGGTTTACAACATTAGCAAGCTGCAACTTCCTTTTTACAAGGTTTGTTTGGCTCAAGAGGGACACGAGCTGATTAGTTACACGGTCGTCTCTCGTCCGGTTCTTTTCCTCATCCAAAAGGCAAAACCCGTTCACCTCTGCCGTGGTTAGAGGAAGGTGCAACACAAGACGCAAACTCATGCATTGGTCAGACCTTCTGGTCTCTGGTTCAGTCCGGGTGTAGTTTTCCTGTAATGCACGTCAGTCAATAACCCACTCTGAACAGCAAGGCCTGCCTTCAGCTGCTGTGTGTGGAGCCACTGTTACGCTTCACTGGAGGTTCAGACAGTTTCTGCTGTATTTGTACAGCGCACTGGACAAAAAACCAAACCACAGGAGAGTCAGTCATCGCTAGACAACGTGTGTTTAGCACTAAAGCGCGAACGCTGTCCAAGTAAACATGCTGAAAAAGTTTTCTCTTCTCCAAACAGTCGACCCACTGGAATTCTGGGACATTACTGAATTAAGGCAAAGTTCCTCAGTATTCATTCGTAGTTCAAGCGGTCTCTAAGGCACTCCCTCTCTGAGAAACGTCTGTGAAGTGCCGCTAGCGAGTCAAACGCTGCAGTGCTCAAGGTGTAAGTGCTAAACAAACAGGGTTTCTGGACCCCGGCTTTCCATCCGCCCCTCTGTCAGAACGATCTACGACGAGGTGTGCGCGCATCGAGCCAATGGGACAGAAACCTCCAAAAACAAACATCTCAAGTGACTTCAGCTCGAGCGCGTTGCATTGGGGCCACAGTGCTAGCGGGCTACAGCGCTAACGTGGCGAGTTAGCCTTTACCCTGACATCTCTCTCTGCTCAGCGAGGATCTCCGTCAGACGAGACCCAGGCAAACTGACACAGAGACCCTGAAGAGCTCAGAGCTCTGGGAAAACGCTCGTCCCCTACATCGGCGGCTCCTCTTCCATGGGCTCATCCTCCGTCCTGAGCAGAAACACAACAAAGCCGGTCACACGACAGAACATAAGGACAGGCGGAAGGAAGAAAGCAGGGAAAGCGGATGTACCTTT